CTCCTCCCGCACATCTCCCGGGGTTTCCAAGCAGAGGTCCTGCGCGCACCCCTGCTTTCTTTCATAACTGCAGGGGAGGCGGCTCCAAGGGACGGGGCTCGACCGCGCGCAGGGAGATCTTCGCTGGGAGCCGTGAAGGTGGCAGACAGACTGTATCCCTGCGCCACTGCGTGAGAGGAAGAGGCTGAATGAGGAGCTGCGCGGGGGAAGCGGCGCGCCGGGGGAGGAGACGGCGGGATGGAAGCAGACGCTGGCGTCGCGCGAACCCCGGCCAGAGCGGCGCGGTAGAGAGGGCGGCGGCGGCGGCGGCGCGCGTGGAGCCTTGACGTGCCCCTTTCTTTCTTCTCTCTCTGGAAAGCTGGGAAGCATGAACGTGCAGACCTGCCGCTGCGGCGGCCGCCCCGGCTCCTCGCCTACCCCTCTTGTGGCCGCCCCTCGCCGGTGAGAGAAGAGAACGCCAGAAGGGAAGATGGGGGCCGTCCTGAGGAGCCTCCTGGCCTGCAGTTTCTGCGTGCTCCTGAGAGGTGGGAAGAATGTGGGGGGGACAGCAAAGTTGGTGGGATTTGGGGGGGGAGAGGTGGCCTCGTTTTGTGTGTATCTGGGGGGAGGGGAGGGAGAGAGGGAGTAAAAGGGAAGAGTGAGGAGAGGCCTGCTCGTGGGGAAGGAGAGAGAAAGGGGCCCGGGAGAAGGGGCTGTGCGCCCCGCCTGGCCACAATGCAGACCCCTGCCTAGGTTTCCTGACCTTATCTGGACAAATCGGAGCCTCGGTCAGGGCTGCTGGTCTTGGTAAAACCCTGGAGCCCCATGCTGTCGGAATGACTGAGGGTCTATGGGTCTCTCTTTGCCTGGAGTCATCAGGGAGAAGGATCTTTGTATCTATTTTGGCTTTTAAAATTTGAGCCCTAACGCTTTAACATTGGTCTTGTCTCTCGAAGCTCCCACCTTTCCCGTGTCTCATAATTATGCGAACTTTTGGAGCCCTCTTACTATTTTTCCAGGCCTTGTTACAACTAATAATTGGCTTCCGTCGGAGATATAATGGTCTTGAGTGAGAGCACAGTTGGAAAGTGACTCCGAGGTTATAGGTCGAGCGATTCAGCATTGGGAATCTTCTGAGCTTCAGCCCATAATAAAGTAGAAACCTTGCCCTTGTAACCCCTGGTGTTCAGGACTTGCCCCTATTTTCGGAGCATGCAAGTGTACAGTTGGCACTAACTAGGAAAGTCATCCTTGTGTGAAAAGGAGCCTGTCCTGGGACCTAAGTTATCATTTGCTGCGTTCCCCTGGGGACTGCTTGGCACTTTGGTGAATAACATAGGTTATTCTAGATAATTTACTCTGAGAATCCCATACATTCGATGGCCCTGTGGTTTTTTTGAATTGGCATGCAAAGCTGTCAAATACGCTGTGACTTTTATTTTGTGACAGTTCACTAAGGGTTGACTGGCCCGTAGGATTTCAACAGCTCTCCTCAAACTTATCAGCGGTGAAGTGGTGCTAAGTCTGATGCTATTGAGCATTTACCAGCAGAGGAATTTATGTCCTGATTGATGCAATGGCTTATAGCTTTGGTTTTGTTAAAAATTCTCACTTGTGTCCATGGTCGTCAGTTCTTTTCAGGTCTGGGACCTTATAAGACTGTGGAGCTTTTTAGCTATTGATTTAACAAGCTAAACTTGTTTAAGTCTCCAAAACTTATTGAAGTTTACAGAACGTGATAGTAACTAACAGTCCTGTGATGTAAATGAGCCAGGCGTGCCATCTCTGTGTGTATATATTTTGGATGAGTGTGAGTGACCTTTTTTTTGATGAATTTTTTTTAACTCTTCTGCAAGATTATTATGCTTGCATGTTATATCTGCTTGTACTTAATAATTAGGACTCACTACGCATATACCACCAAGCTGTTTCTCCATGTAAATCTCAGAAACATAACGCTCATTTAATTTTCTTGATAGAGGATTTAATGCAGTATTATGCACTTGAGAAGTTTAATAAGTGTATGTTTATTTTATTATAGTATACCTCCTGTTGATTAGGGGGTTTTGCCATACCTGTGAGAAACAATTGTATTTAATAGAATATCTATAGCTATATCTATATATTTAAGACAGAAAATTAATAGAATTAACAAATATGGGAGTCAGTTAATTGGTTAAAGTTTTGGGCAACTCTAAATTTGTAACCCAGGATGCTTCTGGTTCCCCAGTTGTATTTCTTGGAGAAGTGTGTGATGTAAATGCCATTTTATTTTAACTCCAAGTTTAAGCCTAGAGTTGGAATTAAGAGAAGTTGCACTTAAAGTAATATTTTGAAGTATAGTTTTGTAACAAGACCTAAGAGTTAATACTTTAAATGGCCTCATATCCGCTAGCAAACAAAATTTTCAAAAGTGGAGCTTTTATTTTAAATGTAACATAATAATGGTGGCCTTTGAATTTAACAGTACCTAACAGTGAGTACATACTATTTGAACTAAAACTGCCTTTGATGTGAAAGATTTTTATTCATAATTTAGATTTTCATTCTTTGATAATGTCATCCTCTCATATTAGTGACATTAGTTAACCTTGGGCTCCAAGGAGAAAAAATGTGATTAATTTTTTGCATTAAGGTCATTTTTCTTCACTGAAGAGTTGGTGCTTTAACATTGGGAAAATGGATTGATGCAAGTTTGAGACCTTTTGTCCCATAGATAGCCCTGTAAATCAATAGCTGAAAGTTGGAATACTGTCGTTATCTAGGCTGCATCTCTCTCCATCTCTATCACTGGAGGACAAGGTCTAATGGAAGAATTGGAGATTTCAATGCTAAAATCTTGGGTTTAAAGTCTATGCTACTTAATAAGTTTGTGTTTCTGGTCTAGTTTGTCAATTTCTCTGGGCCTCAGTTTCTTTACCTGTAAAACGTGAGTGGTAAGACAGCTCTAATATGCAGGTTTATTGGGTATATCAAATGAAATGATGAATATGAAGTGAACTGCAAATATTTTTGTTACAATTTTTTTGTTTGTGGACATATCCTCAAATGCTGGGAATTTGAGATTTAATTTGTATAAGATTCATGAATTCTTAAATGTAGAAGAGATCTTGATCATTTTGGTCTGCTTCATTTGCAAGTGGGGAAAATCAGATTCAGAGAGATTGTAATGATCAATATCCTACAGCTCATTAGTGATAGAGTAGGGATTTATTGTTCATTCTTTTAGCAAATATATATGGAATACCTCCTGTATATCAGGCTCTGGGATAGTGGTGAGCAAAATAGACATAGTTGCTGTTATAATGGCTTCACAATCTAGGTTGTCATCGTTACCATTCTCTTAGGTCCATCCAGGTACTGATTAGAAAAGATTGTATCTCTGATTTTCTAGAGGAAATATTTTTATAAGAATATATGTTTTGGAATACAATCTTTGTATAATCCGTAAATACTATGACCTGGCTTACTTTGAGGAGAGTTTTGTTGTTTGATAAAATTTTTTTGCTACTTAACCTTTTCTTTGTTACTTGTTTTGGTGGGGTGGTGGTAAATACTGTCAGAACAAGCCACTAGTGTTTCCCATCTTATCTTTTTTTATAGAAGTTACCCTTGGAAACTTTTTTTTTTAACTAGCAAGTATGACAAAGTCTTGGGGAGGTAGAATGAATTTTGGAATGGGAATCAGGAGAATTAGATTCTGATTCTAAGTGCCATTAGCTAGCTGTGTGACCTTGGATAAGTCATTTAATCGCTGTACACCTTATTATCTTCATTAGGATAATGAATCCTTTTGGAGATTCATAATTCATGTTTACACATCAAGGACTCTGCAAGGTCCTGAGGTAGAAAGACCAATTTAAGCTTTGTTTAATCTATTTCCCAAACTTGATGACAAATTTTTTCATAAATCCTTTTAACATTCTGAAATTTTGTTCCAAGCAGCACACTTGGAAAGAATCCGAATTAGATAACCCTTTTGGCATTGGGTTGATTCATGTGAATTGGTATTCGATGACAGTTTCGTATACTGTAGTTGAATCTGATACTTTCATCCCTATTTATTTACTTGGCCTAAGGTTTGCTCATCTGGCTATGAAATAATTTGATTATGAAACTAAGGTTTCAGCTCATTGTTATAATCAGGCCTAACAGTGATTTCGGATGGTTCAATTTTTCAGTTTTTGTTTTTGCCTTAATTGGAGGTTTTTCCATTTGCGAACTGTGTTATTGTTTCCATATAGTTAGTTATACATGCTTCAGCTATCAGAAAGGATGCGTAGCCTTGGACAAGTTACTTAGTTTTAGTTTCCTTTCCAGTTAGATGGGGTGATACCTTACAAGATTTCTGTGGGAACTGATGAGATAATGTTTGCAAGAGGGTTGCACAGTCAGTAGTAGTCTTTGAATGATTGGTAGCTATGCTTACGGTGGCTCAATTAAAATAAATATTAATGCTTGGGAAAGACTAGTAAAACATTCAAGTCCAGGCACTATTTTAGGCAGTCAGTAGTTTTAGGCCAGTAGTTTTTAACCGTTCTGACTCTTCTGCGACTGAAACAAAAGCTCCATGAAATAATTTGACTTCTGATATTTTCAGTTTTGTTTTATGTAAACAAGATGGCCACTATCTACTAAATTTATTTTTTCCTTCTAAAGGTTTATAACTTTAACCCAGTTTTAGGTGATCGTTATAAATAAGCTAGAGGATACACAGTTCAGTTGATTGTGATACTTATTTAAGAGTTAAGTATGGATAAAATAATTTTATAAAAACATTTTGTCTAATTGAGAAATTTTATTATTTGTTTACAACAATTAAAATTATTCAATTGATGGACATCTCCCTGTAGAATGGGTTAATGATATACTGAGTTTCTGCATTGCATGTTTCACTATTCTTTGTATGAGAGTCCTTATGTATCTTCTGTAAAATGAGCTCATCTTAATGAATGGAACACTACTCCATGTGAATAACTTTGAAATTTAGTCAAATACATAGATTGGGCAACCTAAGAATAGAATATTTGTCCTTGAAATTATTCATTTAAAATATAATTCGTTGTAAATACAAGAACAACAGTGTTACTTGATATTATTAGCATGTGCTTTTGTTTCTCAAACCATTTGTGTTATCCTCACAGAAGGTTCAAGACATTCGAATGTAGGATTGGAAAATATTAAAATGTACCTGGGCTCTATTTGGTGAAAATTACTGGTACATCAGTGCTGTGATTCTGTTAGCTGTTATTTAACTTGCTAACTTGTGTTTCTGTGATACCTTGCATGGAATGGCCAAGAGATCGGGGATGTGAAGTGAAATCATATTTTTAGGCAAAAAAATATTAAGTGAATTTTTAAGTTATTAATTGATACTAGGCATAAAGTTATTTATTAGGTTGTCAGTAAAAATAAAAATGCAGAGGTGAACATGATCAGCACTAGTCATATTTTTCAAGAAAATAGTTACAGATATTGGAAAACTATACCTTGTTATCAAATATGTATATTTGACCAGGAGGCCATTTTCTCTAATGGCCTTGGT